TTTATCTTCCTGTCTGTATCATGTGTTTGGAGATTGGGATGTAAATCTGCCTTTTTATGGCAATGAGAAGCTTTGTAAATCTGTACTAATGAGGAAGAAAATGAGCATTAATTAAACTCCTGGTTTCAGGATGGGCTGAGGCTCTGGAGTCCTGAAGCAGCCGCTGGATGGGTTACTCATTACAGCCCAGAACCAGGAGCTGTGAGCTGAATGCAATGAGGAGACAATTAAGTCGCTCACCAAGTGCAGAGCCAGAGAGATATTTAATTATCCACAGGAGCTCAAGCTCCAAAACCTGGAGTTTTCTGTAGATCTAAATATGCCAGGCAATTTTTCTGTCGAATCAGGCTTCTGAAGAATGTCTTTAGAAATGCAGGAGGGGCTGGGGACGTTGAGGAGATGGGAGAAGAAACCTGCTGAGCTCTGTGGTGTGGTGGCAAAGCTCTCGCAGGTCCCCTGGGCTGGGGAGGAGAACTCCCTCGTGTGGGATGGGATTGGTGTCATTAACCTGAGCAGAAAGCCCATGTGGCTGTGGCCATTGCCAGGACATGTAGATTCTGTGGTCCCTGAAATCCTTGGGAGGAGTTCTCCAGGGATGCACAGGAGCCCTGTTACCCTCAAAAGAGATGAGTGGAACTCTAGACCCCAACTCCATGTGATCCACAAATGGACTCATTTGTGGCTTATCAGTGTAATTTGTGTCATAATTAGACAGGACATTCATTCTCAGTCTTCCATGTGATTTTTTTTTCTGTGTGGCTTTCACTTCTAAATAACCACCTTGCTAACCTTAGCAGAGGTTTTGATTCTCTGAACTGCCGTTTCCTTTTGATTAAGTGTTTTCTGCTCTAGTCTTTAATGCATATTAATGAGTGCCAAGCAGTGCTTGACTTGAGTAATTTGCAGCTGGGATCTAAAAGCCCTTGCAAGGAAGGCCTGGGGATGTCCCGCTTTGGGAAATAGTGGGATATTGTAGGCTCTTTGCTACAATTTGGTGCATTTCAAAGGCAAACACTTTTTCTATTAATTTATATTTTCATTAGTCACACGACACAATCCCATCTGCCATCATCAATATTCCTATATTCAGCTTAGTTTCAAGTTAAAAGTCCCAGAAGGGGAGAGGAAAAGGTAAGAGCTTAGCAATTTTCCCAGAATTGGACTTCCTTTCATGGAGATGCACAATTCCATGCCTGGTTATGGATTGCACAGTGTGTCTGTGGCTGCAGCATGGTAGAGCAGGGTGATCACTGCTAATCCAGAATGCCTGGAAGTACAACATTCCTGGGATAGGTGGTGAGCAGTATAGGATAGAAAAACACTACAATAGCAGGTACTTTTAAGCTCTTAGTTTGTGAAAACACCTCCTGTGATTCTGTTCAGAACTTTTGGGGAAACGGGCATTTGAAAGGCTTAAATCTGTTTTCACATCTTGTTGAGTAAATGTCCAGAAGATTACTGTGCAGGGATTTTCTGAAGCCCTTCCATTTGAAGGGAAGTCACAGGTGTGCTCAAACAATACACCATTTCTATCTTAGTCATCCAGAGGCATTCTCCAGGAAATTGCAGCAACCTGAATGCTCTCTGTTGTCATCACAAGCTTGGTGGTTGTCTGACAGTGGTCTTGGCATGATGGGCTGGCACAGGGGTGATGGCAGCTGTGGAAAAGAACAGGACTGGTGAAGGGTGAAGGATGTGGGCAAACCTCTGCTGCCTTGTTTGCTGCCCTATTGCTTGCTTGGCTGTGCACAACACTGGTGTTGAGTTGATGACTAAAAGCAATCTCCCTTTCATGGTGGCTTTTTGAGGGTGTTCTGAGTAGTATCAGAAAAAAATGCATTAAGTGATTCATCTTGAGCTTTTCATGTTCAAAGCATTTGACCAAAAAACCCCCAAATCAGGCCTTGCAATTATCCTGCAAGACTGTTATGCTGGTTCAGAGGTGGAGAAATGGAAGTAAAGAGGTTAAATGTCTTGCTCAAAGCAGTAAGGAAATGTGTGGTGGAGACTTTCAGGAGCCCCACATATTTCTTAATGAATCATTTATAGTTGTGGTTATATTATTAGGCAGATGACTTGAACTATGGATTGCTGTAGGAACTCTGCTTTTCCATCTAAATGAATTTTCTTCTTAAAGTTTGAAACAGCCATTCTTATCTTTCTTATTTTATTTTATTTCATGACAATATGTTGGCTAAATGACTGTATAGGACATGCAGTATGCAAAAATATAAAATTCTTTTACAGTTCAAACATACATTCTTTCCTAATAATTCTGATCAAAAATAATTGAGGGTTTTTTCTCAGCACTAAAAGAAAAGAGAAATTTCAGTAGTAGTAGTAGTAGTAGTCCAAGATTAAAATGAGAAGAAGAACATTCAGCCATGTAGCCAGGAGTTGGGCTTTAATCGTCCTTGGGGGCCCTTCCAACTGAGGAGTTTCTATGATTCTGTGTTTGAAGGTTGAATTCCTTCCTTCCTACACCCCTACAGAAGTAGGGGGGATGCTGCCATGGGGATGTGCAGAATGGTGTCATGTCCATCCAGGAACCAGACTGGGGAATGAGAGCACCTGGTGTTGTCCTGCTCTTTGGCAGCTTCCAGTGCCACGTGAATCTCCCTGCACAGAAAAGGGCCAATACCAGGCACAATGATCTGCAGGAAATGTCAGTGTTTAAGCACTGTTTTATGTCTTGGGATCCAGCATTCAAATATCTCTTTCTGTTTAGTCTTGCAGCCTGTCCCAGGGTGTCACCTTCATCTTCTCAGAGAGGAGAATTCACTGTGACCAATAGTTTTCATTTCCAAAAGGCCATCATACCCTGGAAGCTAAAGTTCACCTATAAGAGCTGTTCTTCTGTCCAATCAGTTCAACTACTGATTGAAGATGTTGTTTCTCTGTAAATTTTCTTAGAAGACCTAAATTCCTCCAAACTCCCATCAATACTCCCTGCTGCACACAGTGTACAGCAGCATTTCCCCCTGTATCCTGAATTATGGTCTGCATTCCAAACTATGGTCTGGCATTAGCTGCTTAGCTAATGTTAGGCTTAATGTATCCAAAAATATATAAGAACATGTGCACAACCATGGTGCATTTTTCACTTGCAAAAACCAAAATCACATATTTTTCACATGACAGTCAAGCTCTCAGTGTATTTCTCCTGGGTGTAGAATGGTGTGTGCATCTTACCCTGTGCTGTTGAACTTGCAAATGCTTGTTCCTTCTTGGTGTTTAGTTGTGCATTTATCATAAAAGGATTTCCAAATTTCTGGATATAATATTTAATATCCAGAAGAAGTGTGTGTGGTATGTAGTTAGAATAAAATTAAAAGGAGAGTAACATCAAGTCTGAATTTTTCATGTATTCCCCTTTACAGTAAACGATCAGTTGCTGTCTCTTTGGGTTCAGCACTTATTTTCTTGGTTGTCTTGACTTCCTTGAGCTGCTGAGCCTGTCTCACCTTTTCTGTGTCTGATGTAGAATCTAAATTAGTTAAGAAGAAACAGGATATCAAATTCAGTTGCCTCTATACAGGCAGGATGGCATCAGCTTAAATTGCTTTGATATAATTTTGCTTCTTTAATCCTTCCTCTCCAATCTGTTTTTGTATACATTAGATATACGAATTCTGGGACTGGAAATTTTGCCTAATGTAAGTTAAGACATGACAAATGAACCTGACATTTTTCCAAGGAGGGAACCAGTGAACATACTGTATTTATAGCAGTAGGAATGTAGTTTGTTGTTTACAGAAGAAAAATATGTGCTGTATGAGAACTTTGGTGCTGGAATATGATAAGTGTGTTTAGATGTGCTTGTTTCAAGTGAGGACACTGGGTTCAAAGGAGTCAAACTGGTTCCCCTGGAAGCTTGAGGTGAGGCTTCACTGAACAGGGGATTTAGGCTCCCAGAAGCTCAGATAGCAAGATGGAGAGTGTCACAGTACAAATTATAAACTGCAGTGTCTCCAGGATTGTCTCTGGGCAGAGTGGGAAATAATGTGATGAAGGAGCTTCTGGAGGCTGGATCTGGACCAATTTAATTTGTGTTAATAGTAAGACTTTGTCTGCAAGCTGAGAATTCAGTAGCTGAAGTTCTCAAACACAGATGTGCAAACATGCAGAAAAAATTGATTCAAGGCAAGCATCTCTGCAAGCAGCTCTTGGCTGCTGTGACCTCCTGCAGTTGGGCAGGACTGCAAGAGGAGATTAGCCCAGGTGATCCAGATACCCAAGTTGTTTCACCTGCATAAAGATGACAAAAAGTCCTTTTCTTTTATAAAGTTTTCATTCTTTAAGAGGTTTTCCCCTGAACGCAATGAGAATTGCTTGGATGATGTTCCTTTGGTGTGCTTTGTACAAGTGCAAATTTCTATTTTCATACCAGGGTATCTGGTCCAGTCCGAATAAGTTGGGTTATTTTTTAACAATGCACTACTGACACTCCAGCTAGTTGTAGCTAATTCTTGAAAGGTTATTTTGTTGGCTTTGTGTCACAGGGGGAATAATCACAAAGCTTAACTGCCTGAAAGTCAGATGCAGTGTTTTTCTATCTTGCTTCTGGACAGAAAGGCTGACTCTACAACTTTTGACTGTTGAAGTGCACATCAGCTTATGGCACTGATCTGCTTAGCAGAAATAGTAAACACTGGAGTGGTCTGGGCCTGATGGATAGCTAAGGTCATAGTAACTCCCATTGTAGATGTTTTTTAATGGAGATGGTGATTTCCTAGACAGATTCTTAGACCTATACTTGGCTCGTGTGGCTCAAGGAGAAATCCTTTTGCTTCAGAGTTGTACCTTTTGTCCTTTCTTGTCAAGCTGGGAAAACGATGCTTTGTTTTGCTCTAATAAAGAATTCACCTGGTTTCCTCTCTGCATCCTAATTGCTCTCTAGAGAGCACTAAAGTGTGCTTAAGCATATTGTAACTGTTTGCTGGCAGTGCCTGCTGTACGTGCAGTAATGCAAAGTGCTCCATCTCTGCCCTGTGCTGCAGGCTGGCATGATCCGCACGGACAAGGACGAGTTCTTCATCGAACCTCTGGAGAGGGGGGCCCTGGAGGAGGAGGAGGGAGGAGGCAGAACACACGTGGTCTATCGCAGAGCAGCTGCCAGGAAGCAGCTTCCTGGTGAGAACGTGGATACTGTGTACAGAGGTAAGGCGGGTTCTGGGATGAGGTGCGGCTGAAGGCACGGAGCCAATGTCATCTGCTACCTCTGGCTTTTTATCCTTCAAAGTGGAAATGGGCTCTCCCTCCAAGGAAGGAAAAGTAGGGAATGTGTTGAACACTTCCTAGGGGCTAAGCAAACAGTGCAGCAGCCAAAACCATCTCTGGGATGGTGGCACTGTCTTTGCCTTGAGGAGTTTCCTTGGCTCCAGAGGTGGCCAACATAAAGTTGTGTGTGTCCCCAAGCCCTGGGCCAGAGCAGAGAAAGGGGATGGTGGGTGACAGCAGTGCAGAGCTGGCTGTGGCTGCTGGGACAGGTGGCAGTGCTGGCTCTGCAAAGGCTGTGTTGGAAGGCTGCAAGCAGGACACTGAGGCTGGCATGGTACACGGGCTTCATTGACAGTGTCTTCACTGGGCTGCATTAGTCCCCAAAGGAAAATAAGGGTATCTCCAGCATGAACACAAACTTTCTGGACTTATTTATGTATTACCAAGTGTGGAATATAATGTACTAAGTATGTGATAGACAGTGATGGAATAGCAAAAATTAAATATAAACACCCATTCTGTGTAGTGTTTTCTGTTTCTCTGATAACTGCCTGGTTATTGCACCTTTTTTTCTGAATAAATAAGGGATGCAAATCTGCTAAGAGGATGTTTTGACAGCTGATGTTAACACTGAAATTAACTGGGTCATTTGAGTGGAAACAACAAAATAGCTGCATTTTTTGCTCCAAATGTGTGTACCAAACTGCAGAGTTGTTTGTCACTCATACCCTGGTATTATCTTATTTCAGTATAGTGGGGTTTCAATTATAGTAAGGAAGGAACAGAGGGCCACAGGGATGAGGCACTGAAATTTGGGCCCCGTGAACAATATAAATTTCTCACTGTTCAGGTTGGAACAAGGATTAAAAAGAAAGCAAGCAATATCATTCAACCAATTTTTTTTTTCTCCGCTTTGGAAGTGACCTGTGAATTTTGTGATTGACACAGTGCTTTGGTGAGTTCTTCTTGTTGCCTTTGTACTCACTGTAGAGCAGATCTGGGTAATGCAGGAGTCTGAATGCCACAGTCCCAGAAGGGTTGGATGGTAGGTATGGTGGAAGCTGCTCTATTAGTGAATGTTTATAAAATTATTGCATGTTGGGAAATGCCAGCCGCTCGCTGTGTTTCCTCTTAAACAAAAGAGACTTGATGTTGTTCGCACCTTATGGCAGTATTTTTGGTTTTGGATGGTAAATATTCCTCAGGAGTAGGAGTCTGGTACACAGAACAGCACAAACTGTAGATCAGCTCCAGTTACTGGCACCTGGTACCTGCTGGAGGAGGCTCTGTCAGCAGTGGCTGAGATGCAGCCTGTACCTGGCAGCAAAGCCACACGCCGTGTCTGATACCACCAGACTTGGTGTCTGTCACCTCCCCTGTGCCGGGGCTGGAGTTTGCAAACTGTGGTAAAAAGGCACAAAGTAATCACAGCCACCAGCCAGCACTGTGGGATTGAAAAGCAAAAGGGAGGCTGGGCTGAGAAGTAGCAGTGACCTTGTCTGGTACAGCAGGTGTGGGGACAGGTAGGAATAGTTGTGATATTTCAAATTTTTAAACTAAGGAAAGAATGCTGAGGGCAGTAATCTTCCCTTCTACACCATCACCTTTTGATTTGGAAACTTAGTTTTTATTTTGGAAAAAAACCCCACTGTTACCAAAAGTCAGTAAAAATAAAAACTGTAGGGTAAAGGGAATTTTTTTTCATGAAATTGTCTTTGTCTTTAATAAAAAAAAGTGAACAACCACTTGAAAATGGTTTGTTCTCTACATTTTTTTTATTAAATCTGGCTTCCCACCTCTGATTGCTCTAGGCAAAAGGCATGGACAGGATGTGCTTTCACAAATTGTAATTTTATTTTCCACTTGGTCTTTTTCCAGAATGCATTGAGTTTTGGTTAGCAAACACCAAAATATTTAGTGATTGGGCATTGATAAGCACACTCTGCTGTGTGTTTCCATAGTGTTCTAAACTGATTGATGGGCTGAGTTAGGAAATACTTAGTAGGGCACTTTCAGCATGCTGTATCTATTAAAAAAAAAAAAAAGGTTAACCAAGAGCACTCCCCCTCTTTCCAATATCCCTGGAGACAAGTGCATTGTTGCCAAATCCCATAAATTTACATGTGATGAATTGTAACACTTGGACTATTTTTAAAGGTCCAGCCTCCAGGAATCTTATGAATATGTGATGATTTTTTTTCCCTAGGTAAGCTTCTGGTTCTTTTAACTGTTGATAAAAATGTGTAGTTTCTGGCTATGTAAATATTTTAAGGTAATGCGTGACAAACAAAATTTAAGTATTCCATAATTTTTAAAACAGCATCTTTTAAAATCCCATGATATGTTAATTTAATCCCATGATTTGGGAGGGGATTGTGAGTCATGATTTTTGAATGTTTTGGTTTGGATAGATAGATACAAATTCCTTATAAATATTCCTATCTTTGGCACTCTTTTCACAAGAAATAGGACAAGCTGTTCTCTCCTCAGTGAAACAGGAGGTGAAGGAATTGAAAACTCCATGAACTTGGAGTTGAGAGGATCAGCCACCATTTCAAGGTCTTGGGTGTGCAGCGGGCGGTGGCCACGCTGGACCTCACAAGGCACAAGGGTTTGGGATTTTCTGCTAAATGCAGTTGTTTTGGAGGGTTGTTTGTTGAAGAACTCCATGCCCCCAGGCAATGTGCATCCTCTCCAGCCCGGGGCTGCAAGGCAATGAGACAAAGGTCCCTGAGGCTGGGGGGCAGCTGAACACCCCAAAAGGCAGCCAGGACTAATGAAAGATCCATTGACTGCTTGGGAGTGAGTATTCAAAAAACAACCTAAAAAAATACATAAAATTGCATTTTCCACACCAGGTAAATAAATTCTAAATTATGTCAACAGATGTGGTGAGATGGACCTGACAGCAGGGTTTTTCTAGCATTTTCCATGCACTGTTATCTATCTTTTATATTATAATAAGAAAAAACGAGATTCCATCTGTCTGAAAATTGTAAACAAGCAAGCCCCACAACCTCCTAAGCCCTGCAGAGATCAAGGTGTGCATCTTGTGTTATGAAGGCTCTGCTGGCGTGCTGGGTTTTGGAAAGTGGAATGTGCTCAGAGAGATCTGCCCTGCCCTGGTTCCAGACTGTGCCAGATTCGCTTCTGCATTTACGTAAAACGTTATCAGAAGATTGGGAAGTGTAACTACTTGTTTTGGCAACCTGAATCATTTGTTTTGACTGGTGTGGGATTATCTGGGGTTTGGGGGAATTGCAGAGCATGGGGTGTAACTTTTCTGCCTGGTCTTTTCTCAAAAAATGCTATTTGTTAATGTACTGGAAAAATGTAAGCATCATATTTTAGACAAGTAATAATCTTCAGCAGAGTAATACTGTGAAAGTCTGTGTGAGCTCACTACAAATTAGGCTAATTGTTTCAGAAAGAGAAATATTTTCATGTAGTGGCTGAAATATTGCAGGTGTGGTGAGAATAAATCCTATTTTCTCTGGCAACTGCTTTTAGTGCTTGCATACATATAACAATTTATCTTCCTTTAGATAAAAATAAGCATCATGTTGAACATATTTTAATATTTCCAGTTGAATTCCTTCTTACAAACATGAGAAATGTTCCTTGATAGCAGTAAAACTACCTACATAATAGAACTGGAATTAAATAGATAAGCTAGAGTGGGTTGTTTTTTCTTCAAACTGCTGGGTTTTTGCTTAAATGTTCTTTGAATGTTAACTGAAGAGGTGCTAAGTATTTAATTAATGGTTATGGTGAGGCCTGGAAAGCTAGCTTGATTTTTGCCTCTAAAGGCAATCTGATTAATCAGGCTTGTAAGCTTTAATATCACATTTCTCCACCTAAATTACTGTGTCTGTTATGTTGATCAGCTGAAAGGAAATGATTATACTAAAACTTCCTTAAGGTTTGCCTTTTCTCTAAAAAATGTTAAGTACTGTGCTCTGATTTTTATTGTATTGTATGATTGATGAGAAACAGAAACTCAGCTTTAGTGACAGTTTTATTTACTGTGCAGATGAAAGATGACCTTAGCCAAGAACAGTTTATTACTGATGAAGACAGTAAGGTAACTCTCCAAATGTGCTTAAACCAGAACGTTTTTGTTTCTGTAAGTGCCAATTAAATCCCTTGGAATGGCCAAGCAGAGTCTGACACAAGTCCCATCACGAATAGCTCTGGGCTGACAGGGTGGACAAACCCACAGCTCTGCTGGAGATTTGTGACCTCTTCCCTTGGCAATACTTGGGGTTGCTGGAGGTCAGACCTGCAGAGGAGTTGTGCCTTGGTGCTGAATAATGTGATTATTTAATGTGACCCTCTGATGTTCTTCCTGGGACAAACCCCGTCATTTATTTTTATTACTTTTTTTTGGTAAATTTTTCAACTATTTTGTTTTATTTTTACATTGAGATAAAATCATCCCCCTAGCAGTAACCACATGCCAGTCAGATAAAAAGATAAAAAGAAATAATTTACTGTTTCTACTCAATAGTGGTAGCCAGCATCTTTCTGCCAGACCCAAACTGACAGAGCAGAGCTGGTCCTCAGTCCTCTCACTGGCGCCTCTCACTGGCATCTCCTGGCCCTCCACTCTTTGACATTTAGGAACCCTAAAAAGATAGGGGCCAGTCAGCAGGGGAGAAATCCATGTAAAATTAAGCTGAAAGAGCTCCACTCTGGAAGTTTTTTGAAAAGATGAAAGTTAAAAGTATGATAAAGTTGTAACAACTCAATTGCCAGAGCTTTGCAGGTTTTGGAGATGATATTTCAGAGGAAGACTCCTTCATCATAGTCCATCAAACTGTCAATGCCATTGATTTACTAATGTATTTAAATTACTCTTTAGAAACCAACGTGCATCTGGTGTATATTTTTCTGGATTGCCTGAAATGGCTCAGACTGGCTGCTGGCTGGCCAGCTGC